CTCACACCAAGTCTGCTTACCTTCCCTACTTTGAGAAGACCATTGAGATGGTTCTTCCCTTGGCTGAACACCCCTACGAGGGCGTGCGCAAGAGCACCATCAGCACCCTGCACCGCTCCTACGCCATGCTGTACTGCATTGCTGAGGAGAGCGGCCAGATGGCCAAGTGGCAGCCTGGTCTGCCCCTCCAGGTCCAGCCCGCCAAGGAGGTCCAGAAGTTTGGTGAAATTCTCATGACCGCCACTGTTAAGATGTGGACTGAGGAAGATGATCGGTATGTGTTGCAACCCTTTTCTTCTTCTTTAATGCCCCTTTATGCCCGTCCTCGGGCTTCCTTAAATGATGAACACCACGTTTACCCAGCTCACTCCGACACGCAAAAGTCGTGCATGATGTGAAACACGTTTACTCACAACCTTCTGATATTCATTCACACATTTGTCCTGCTGTATGATTGCCTTCTGGTTACAAAAGCTAACCTGCAAATAACTAGTGCTACCGTCGCCGACATCAACCGCAACATGGCTGAGAACCTGCGTTACTGCGGTCCTTCCTTGATCTCCAACGAGACCACCCTGCACAACGTGATCACCATGATCACTGACATCATTACCAAGAAGCACCCTTGCCAGCTCGAGTTCGGCCCTGAAGAGGAGACCCTCGAAGCCGGTGAGGAGACTTCTGAGTTCGACTGGGTTGTCGTTGACACCGGTCTCGATGTTGTCTCTGGTATGGCTGCTGCTCTTGGCGCCAGCTTTGCCGAGCTGTGGAAGGTCTTCGAAAAGACTGTCATGCGCTATGCTGGCAGCACCGAGGCTCTTGAGCGCGCCACCGCTGTCGGTGTCATTGCTGAGTGCATCAACGGTATGGGTTCCGCTGTCACCCCGTACACCGCTAGCTTCCTGAAGCTCCTTGTCCACCGCCTTGGTGATGAGGATACTCAGACTCGCTCCAACGCTGCCTACGCCGTTGGCCGTCTCGTTGAGCACTCCGAGGCCAAGGACCAGATTGTCAAGGAGTTCCCCACCATTCTCTCTCGTCTGGAGCAGTGCCTTCACATGAATGTCTCCCGTCTTCAGGACAATGCTACCGGTTGCCTGAGCCGCATGATCCTCCGCCACCGCGAGAACGTTCCCATTAAGGATGTCCTTCCCGTCCTTCTCACTATCCTTCCTCTCAAGAACGACTACGAGGAGAACGACCCCTTGTACCACATGATCTGCCAGCTTTACAAGTGGGAGGACCCCACTGTCCGTGAGCTCACTCCTCAGCTCGTTCCCATCTTCCAGGCTGTTCTCAGCGACGAGGACCAGCTGGAGGATGAGCGCCGGGCCGAGCTCATTGAGCTTGTCAAGTGGCTGAACCAGATGCAGCCTGGTGCTGCCCCATGGGCTGACCAGCTGTAAGGCAATGAAAAAAAGGATGGATGACGACAGCTTGATGACCAAATACTACTTAATGGATAGATCGGGTCTCTCTACGAGGACTCTTATGGACGACGTTAGAAGATACCCCTGGGGAGCCAATGAGCGATGAACCCACAACCTATAGAATATGGCTGGACATGCTATGAATTATGAACAAAAGTGGTGTATATATTTTATGAGTTCAATCGAATTTCGATTCGTATGTTCATGTTGCCTTTCATATAATCGCTTTCTGTAGTTCCCGTCAACGGTAGTTTGACCCCGCTATGGGTTACATGTATCGAGTTTATCCCTTCGATGTGCCATGTGTCATCAGATCATGCATGCTCGGTAACCCTGGTTGTTGATGCGACACCGAAGTGTTATCTATCCCGATCATAACTCGATTGACCTTCAGTCCCTGGAAGAGCCACGTATGGGTTTTGATTCACAACCCTACTCTTTTTCTTCGTCTAATATCGAACAATGAGTTCTGACACAAACCATCATTAGATATAACTCCAGTGTCCTGGTTCGTCAGAGTGGGTGTCTATGGGGGGTTGGCTACCAGCATCTTGCGTTTCAATTTCGGGATTGTAGATGCACCCTCATGCAGCCCAGCCATCTTAGCGAACCTGCGTCTCCTTACTAATAACATACTAATATGTATTCCGCGAGTCATTTAGGTATACATGACGTCTTTCCGCATGACATACCCGATCCTGTCGACGTCAATTACACATATCTCCTCCCAACTATAGAGGCCATATCATTACGTAGAGATATTTATATAGTTACTCCAGCCTTCGATGAAAATGAGGCACTGAGTTACACCGATCCAGCATTTCCCATTTCACCATCTGTTCCAACTATTGTTACCGTCTCTTGACAGAAGCTACTGCCGTACTAGTTTTGCCCCTTGAAGGAAGGGAGAAAAGTCTACTTATATGGCGTCCATTTGTCTAGGCCATCCTACAAATCACGCTCAGGCCACGACGTCACTATTAGAGGCTCATTACCTGTCCTAAGTGGTACAGTGCGCATTCATGATCACATCATTCTGACTATCGATCGCTCAAGAAATACTTCTCGTCCAGCTCACAATCGTTCCGCCTCCATCCAGCTCTCTATTTGGAAATTATCATCTATCAGCTTTGTGATAGTCAAGCACCTCGTTAGATTAACCACCACCTCTGCTATCTGTGACATTTTCCACAGTATTTCTCACTCCATTCCTTGATTTTATTTTCGGGATATCGAATTTTTAGATCTCCACGAAATCGATCCTACGCCTTGTTACATTGAAAAGCCACCTATCCTGCCTTTAAACCAAGCCGAAGCGGTTATAATGGCCCCTGCGGACAGCTCCAACCAAGCTAAAGCAGCTATTCCAAGCCCTGCGGGCGAATTTCGTGAAGCAAAGCGACACGGCCTCATCGCACAGCTGTTATGTGCTACCAGGTTCACCAAGCTTGACTCAATCACCTGGGCTTGTCTGTGGTTTGCAGATCTCTCGAACTTAGAAGAACACGTGAAAGCCTTAGAAACTATTCGATTGTTCACTCATTGTATGCGCCTCGGTCTCTCGAAGAGTAAGGATAAAACACAAGTAATCGATACCTGTAAGTGAACAGAAATATCATGCAAACAAGCTCAGGCTAAACATTATCAGGGGCGGTTGCACGGCCCAGAGAAGAATTGGAAAAGGCCTCAGAAGATGAAGAATCAGATACAGACAGCGAGGAGCCTCCAACCAAGAAACGTCGGCTTGCTTTAGACCAAGAAAAGCGCCCCAGTGTTTCAGAAAAAGAAGCCACCCCTATAGCCAATAAACTAGTAAGTCAGCTTTACATGTGATATGACCCGGCCAATCTTTTACTGACTTTATCAAGTGTACCGAGCGAGACAATGCCAGTTGCGTGGTCACTGGTTGCCGTGATCCGGTCGAAATCGCACATATACTCCCAATCGGTCTGGGAATGAAGGAGGCACAAGAAACCCAGACTTTTTGGTCACAACTGTACCGTTTCTGGAGCAAAGAGAGAGTCGATGCATGGATAAAACAGGCTAGAGCCCTAGAAGGGACAGGGGCCTGCTCAAACTTGCTGTGTATGACGGACATGACCCATAAACTATGGAAAAAAGCGCGCTTTGCTTTGAAACCGCTGTCCCTGAGTGAGGATCGGAGGTCACTTGAGGTGCAATTCTACTGGCTCCCGGTATGTAAATACCGTTCGAGAGTTTCAGCAACCGAAGTTCCCAGTCGTTTCCCTCGCAAGCTCTCCGGAACAGACGTCTATGGACAAGAAACCATGCTGTTTAGCATTGCCACAGACAAGATACTATGTTCGGGGGACATTCTCACCTTCACAACCAACGATCCGAACAGCCACCCCCTTCCATCCATGGAGCTGCTGGACATGCAGTGGGTATTGAATCGAGTCCTTGCCCTTAGTGGCGCTACCTACGCTACAGACAAAGAGCTTTATGACAATTACTGGTCGAATGAGTGCTCATATATTGATAGCGAGGATGATTTGTACTAAGCACAAGTGAAAGTCTCAAAGGGCTAGATTCTGCAGGAAGGAATAGGTAGTCAATTCAACGAGACCCAAGCGATATATCGTGAGCTACGCGGAGTAGATGGAGAGCGATATATCCCAATGTGGCTTCTTCGGACTAGATGTGAGAGTGTAGCTGAAATAATAGGAATAAATAGAAGCAGGTAGTACGAAATCAGTGCTCTTTAACTTCTTCTAGCTGTTGTATAACTCTGGTAATCTTACTCTGCTTTAGCAGATGTTGGTTGATGAACCAACTTTCTTGAAAGCTCTAGCCATGTGGATGTGCCCCGTCTACATTCTCTCACAAGTAGATCCTACCTTATCAAACGACAAGCTGAAGAGTAGAAAGGGTTATCATCGCTCGCTTAGAAGAGGCTATGAAGCGAAATAGTTACCGGTAACTACCGCGCTGTCGAAATATGCAGGAGATAGCCGTCACATCAACAGATCTTGCCGTCCCGACTAGGGAGAGATGTGGCCGTCGGAACCCCATAAAGCCCCCCGAGTCTTCTACATTTAAGGTAGCTATCTAGACGAGCAAATGCTCAACAGATGCTAATACCCCTTTGATCTGCCTATGAAAACGGGCCAGATGAATTAAGTATAAAATATGGCATAAGCTGCTGCCAATTCCCTCCATATTTCACAGTCTAAGCACATACTACAATGAATATATATCAAACCTTCACTGCAGATTTCACTAATCGCCTCCCATCACTCTACAATCGTTGAATACTGCCCCCTTCAATCTGCGCCTCTTCCCTGTGTACGAACGTACTCTCACAGGGCTTCGAAATTTGAATTTCTGATTCACCATTATACACCCGGTCCTTCCTATAAATTGCCCCAACTTTCCCCTCTCAGAGCAATCAATTCCTTTCTTACTATCTGCCAGACAGCTACAGGCCTGCTTTCTTATTACTTCCTCTATATAACTATTACTTTGTCTATTATATTTCTCTGGATCTTCCACATCTACCACGGGGAATAATACTCGTACTAGAAAATATTGGAAATACTCCTTGAAGATCAAAACTACAATTAACATATCCGAAAGAGGAACGGAACGTTCTTGCTTCCAAACAATTGACCCAGAGACATTCAATACTTCCTGCTCCTTCGTTAATTGGGAATCGTCTGTGTCTGAGCTGAACATGCAGCTTACACGGATAAAGAGCTCATCACACAATGCAGTCATCTTCCGAAACATTACTCCGTCGCTGTATAGCACAATATACAATATAGCCAAAGAAGAAATAATTTCCCGGTCATTTTCAGATGGAAGGGTGGTGGCTTGCCACTCTCGAATACGAATGCCGATGATGCGGTTATCGATGCATTCAATGCCGCGTTTACTGCTTCGATAAAGTCCCCGAGAGATATATCAACCGTGCAGATCAGTCAGGTGCACTTGTTATGCCAAGATTGGACCCAATACTTCGAGGCTGAAGGCTTACAGCTTCAGCACTACGGTATGTTGGTCCCGAACTCAGACAGAGCAGGTGAGAATTCTGTGCTCCCTGGGATCAATGGGGTTTGGTCGTTTGGATTACCCAATATTTACCAGCAGGATCTCTTGTATCTTGCAACCGGCATTAACACACGCACCTTACTGTCAAGGGTCGTGCATACGATGCAAGAAGCCACAAAGACTGGAATTCTGTAGGCCACTGCGGGTCATTGTTTGCCTGAGCAAATATGCCCATTGAGGTGACCTTGGATCTGTTTCTCTACCACAAGTTATGGTATCATGTCGAATTATCTTCCCGGTTCTTCAAAGACCAAGAGGAGCGATTGACTCCAAATGATAATAAACTCACTAACGAGTTGGAGAAAATAGAAGTGCCTATGTGAACGAGGATTTTGAAGCAGGGTATCTACAGTTGCTGATCGGATTCTCTTGGGAACCTGTCCAAAAGATACCATCAGCTTTAATGATTTGAAAAGCACACTGGTGTTTTTATTAAACACGTATTTCACAGGGAGAGGACAAGAACCGTCGATACCGGGTAAAATGGGGATCCTGGAGTCATTTGAGATGTCATCTACAACATCTCTTCTTCTAAGATGTTCCAGACCATATACTGTCAAAGACGTTTCCTCGTTCCCTTTCAGAGACACTTTAGGTTCTGGCAAATTCAGTCGACATAATGACGCTCACTTTAGAACCATCGGTCAAGCCTACTACACCTGGGGCACCTAGTACACTTCCTACTATCACCAAGGTATTCCTCTGAATATGCAGCCTACCCGCTCCATCTGGTCAAATCGGCCATCCTGCAAGAGTTCAGATTCTGAGTGAGATGGATCCATTGAATTGTATTCCAGCATAGTGGCCCATTGCTGCTAGACAGGTCATGCGAGATCAGGCTCTCGGTATCCATGCATCCTTTCAGACAGTCTGCAAGCCCTTCGAAAGTGGTGTACTTATCTCGAAGGAATCACAAGCTTCTGCCACCAGGAGCGGACTCACAGCGGAGCGCATGGGTTTAAAAACTGGTACATGCAGTTCAGCACTACGATGAAGATGCCAATAGCAATTTAACGACTCTGATATCAAAGTCCATCCCGTTCCGAGCCCTCTCAGCAAAATAGCGACGCTCCGAGCAATCATAAAATCTCTCTGGAAGTTGAACCGAAGAAATATATGACAAAGTGTGTCGGAACTCCGAGAACATAGGCCAGGATAGGCGAATCTTCCGTTCACTCCAATATATCATGCGTCTTCTCTGCAGGGTGGTTGAAGCCCTCGACCCTTGATCGCTTCCGTGCATGTGATCCTGCTGGGCTGCACACCTTCATACTTTACACGAACTTCCTATGAATTATTCATTTTCATATCGTGATCCAATTTTTACCACTTCAACAATGGCTCGTGGAGGCGCCACCGCATGGGAGGATCACATAGTAAACTCAACTACAAGCGAAGCTTGAGCTTGGCCCCGGTCTGTTCAAGCTCGCGAAAAGAATCTTGCAAAAGATCACGAGATCATGCAACCAGCAATCCAACAACAGCAAGTGGTTGTGCGTATCTCATACGCGGCAAGACCTTGCATGCACCAGGTGACCGCTCATACCACTCCCTAGTAGCCGTTGCATAAAGAGAGATCTACGAGGCTATGATATATTCGCATGAATAATGAGTACTATCATCAGTGGTTCCATTCCCCTTGGTTTGATCCATACAGGAACCCCAATGGAGGTGTCTTGGCTGCGTTAGCGGGCGCGGTACACTCACAGCATGCTGTCATCTCAATGATCCGACAGGCACTGCTTCTTGTGTGTTGAAAGACGTCGACACAGCGATAACAGTCTCAAACACCACTCGGTTGCTTCCAACCTTTTTCTTTTTCATCGTGGTTGGACCTCCGGACACGCAAAACGAAGTTGCCAATCGCGGCAGAGCCCCTGCTCACTCCACAGATTTTCCGTCTAAATCCAAAGGGAGAGACTATTCTACCTCCATTTTGTTCAAGCTAAGACAAAAGCCAACGCTAATTGCCCTGGTAGCGACTCACGCAGCTGATTTTGCTGCAATGAACCACTTACTGGCACTTCCAGTTCAAGTTCTTCAAGGATGGAAATGAAGAGCTCACGTTTCTACGAAGTAGAGCTGTTCTAACACCCAGATCAGGAACCTCTGCAACCACTGTTTTGTCCTACACCAGGGGACATGAAACGTGGTCCAAGATGTGATTACCTGAACCTCTCCGATGTACATTCATCGGAGAGTAACGAAGTACCACTGCTTGAGACGTATAGAGCCGGGTTAGAATACACATTCGTGCACCGCAGACCACAATTCCTCGAGAATGACAATGAAGATGGGTATTGCAACATATTTGATAAGCTGACTACGCATAACGTATCAGAATGTCATCAAGCCGATATTGAAGGATGCCTTTTTAGTGGAAGAGTTCAATATCACGAGGATGTTGAAGAAGTCGTCATTCTTGCCAATCAAGAGCCTCCATACACTATCCTAGTTCATCCAGGGAATTGAAAGCTTTAATACATGACAAACGAGACCAGCATGACACCAGACCAGGTAGTCAGCTGGATTTCTTCCCCGTACATCTCGCGGCCAGAAAGAAGCTATTGGTTACCCTACGCCATCTGAAAGCACTCACAATGGAGCTCAAGGGTCTCTGAGAAACATGCGACTTATCAGATGGCAAGGTCTTAGTAACGGTTTGGATCTCAGATGCGTCTCGGCTATATATGCTATGCTTGCTGTATCGGAGACCAATTTCCGTATGTTTATTTCTGACTGCTTCTATTTGCTACTAATTACTGAACAAAGCTAGCACGTCATAAAACACCCACTATCGAAGCACTGCCTTGTCCAGTTATTCTTCTGGGCTCTGACCGCAAGTATTGGAAGAATACCCTTGAAGACATCTAGATTGTGGTTACACTTCTACTAAACATCAAAGAGATGATGTGGCCAGACCCGAGCTTCGGCATTGAGTTCGTCGTCGTTGGCACACAGTCTCTTCACAACTGAATTGCCTAGCCTTCTACGTTGAACAAGCGCAAGGACGGGCCCTAGGAAATTGGCTCTTTCATGTTCTTTTCCCGTACGCAGTACTTCAGTGTGAGCCGCTCGCAATGACTCACCACAGATGGGACCTGGCTGCTGGTTTTGCTGGCGTCAAAGTTGACAACGTCTACCGCCCCAATCGACGTGCTCAGTTCATTCTGCTCTGTCTATCTCCGCAAAGCTACACAGGGTACAGGGCTATTCTTCAGTGTCGAAACCTCTAGTCAGTCTCTTGGGTCCACAGAGGCCACAGTACATTATTCCAATTACTACACAGACGACTCTCAACATTTAACGACCAGGAAGTGAAAGTTTTCAGGCCCAGGTGGATACTGCGAGAGAAGGTCGTAAACAGTACTTCTCACTGGGTCCCCATATCAGATATAGTGAGCTGACCGTGGAGCCACATTGGATAAGCGCCTTTTAGACAGAGACTTACTACTGACATTCTTATTATATCGCCATGCAAAGCCCAGTTGTCTTCGTGAAGAATGTGTGGGAGAAGAGTTTTGGCCAAATAGTAGGCGCTTCTTAAACGCCAGAAGCCTTGGCTTTTGTTGTCCTGAACAGGCATAGCGGCAATTGAAGACGAGCTTTAATTAGCAAAGTTGGGGGAGGACGGGAATGAGGCACACAAGTGTACTTAGCTAGAAATTGATGATATTAGATAGAGATACTGGCACTGATCACCATCACCTGGGTGGCGTTTGTGATTGCCGAGGTCATTCCCTTCTTCTCGGATTTGCTGTCTATCTTCAGTTCGCTCTTCATCTCGGGCTTTACTTTCTACTTCCCGCGCTGATGCGATCCTTGCTGGTGCGTGAAGGCAAGTGGGACACGCCTAAGGATTTGATACTGGGGGTGTTAAGCCTGTGTTATCTAATTATAAGTTTGGTGACACTGGAGACTGTTATCTATACCAGTGCTGATGATATTATAAGACTATTCTGTCTTTGATTTATCTCTAAGATTATGATATTAGTTATTATCTTATAAATCCTCAACTACCGCAGCGGTTCTATACATGGTGTGTTTACCTGCGCTGCTCCGGAGTAAAGCATTCTTTGTGATTGAATGGGGAGCCGAATTAACTACTTGATCACCATAGACCTCCTACATTCACGGGACAACAAGTGTTTTTGTCTTGCAAAAGGACTCTGTCGGCGCCTCGGATTATTTCTTGCCTTACCTTAACGCTACTTGGATTGTCTCGATGGATGAAAGGATTGTTCGTAAAGTATTGTGCCATGTCATGGCTGATTGCACTGAGATACTCCTCATCTTTGGGGAGGATGTATTTGTATCTCCATCACGTAACGAACATCTTAGCTTCTTGGTAGGACGAGCCAGAAAAACTGGCCAAATAAGGCACTTCATGGAGCCATTAACATATCAGCGCGATTGGTATGACCAACTTAGCATCTCCTTTGTCTCAGGGTCACCCAGAGAGCTGTACCGGCCATTTGGTCAGCGTCTCGGCTGCTACATTGAAGGTTTTCATCAAGCGGAAGAGGCGGCACCTTGGGTTAGCTCTGGTAGCTATAGGCTCGGGCTTGGGTTACTGTGGATACCAGAGTTTGGACAGACAGTGAAGGTACCAAAGCTTACACTGTTGGAAGGCTTACCAAATAAGTGTATTCCTTGTTGTATACCCGAAAGTCCGGCCAGGGAAACTCTAAGCCAAGTTGTTGGCCGATCTGAACTTGGTTTGCGCGGATATAGCATTGCATAGGTTCTGTTAACTGTAATATCAAGGAGATGTCAATTATTACACTTGATATGCGGAAAGTGGGCGGATCGCTAGCTCTGCGATACAATCGCTACTTAAGACCGGATGGTACGTCGTGTTTGAGCGGTAAAGTTCATGGAGTGCTTTGTCTTTCTTCGCTGCCCAAGGTCCGATCACAGCTCTCCAGTCATATTGTCCAATCATGCAATCATCTACAGTTGACCTTCTGTCTTCAGACCTATTCAAGCATCACTACGAGGATGGCCCTAGGGAGGCGCATCTGGAACGCACGTATCTCCGGGCCAGGGCCTTTGCTCGATTCTGGCGTAGGTCTTCAGTTGTTGCATTTCGGTTATTTATACATTCTGACAATTACCCAGAGCTGACCCCAGATGATGTTCTCCAATTCACACCGAAATTCAGGCGCGCACACACTGATGGTATCATACTTCGGGATATAGCCGCCCAATCCGCATTCAGTGTTCATTACAATCTGGTGGGAGGGACCATTGCATCATTGGCTCCGCAGCGGCCGGACCTTCAGCCGTTACTGAGGCAAATATTCAATTTCGATGTTGTGTATGTGATCGTTGAATAGGCTGCATAGACAATGCTGATGTGATTGTGAGTAGTACTACCTATATGATGACGGAGGCTGGACACGGCTGCGATGCGAGGAATCTCGAGACTATTGCCGTTTGGCAGTCTGATGGCAGCTTTATCCTTGACACACCAACGCCTGCCGCAAGAAAGTATTGTATCACAGTCCACCTTTGAGCAGAAGAATGCTAAGATAAATAGGCTCATGCCGCCCTCCGCACCTCTTGCAGCAGGGATACCACGTATAGCGCTTGTCCTTGCGCGCCTGATAGTCGAAGGAGAGGACCGAGGCACCCGACAGTTCATTGTTCCGGTTAATGATGGGCGACAGATGTATCGGGGAATTAAAGCATGGTTGGTACCCGTTAAATGCACCAAATACCTGGTTTAACAATGTCAGGGGTCTTCCAGCTCCTGGAGCCGGAAGGCTACTCGATTTCGTCCTTACAGCCTTCGATCATGTCCATCTTCCGTCAACCGCCATGTTAGGAGACCTTGCAAGACCTTCCAACATGCGCGATCAGTACCTCACTGCCATCGATCGGCTGAGCACAGGTGCACTAATCGTCAGTCTATGGGTCATTCCGTTCCTGAAGGGTGCCGCTTTTACTGTGGGCAGGTACAGCCAGCGTCGCACAGTTCAGGAAGGCCTTCAAGGGGAAAGGGTCCCAATTATCTCTTTTAGAACTCAGCAGCTACCCATTGCACACGCTTTAGCTGAGGTTGCTGTACTAGCCCCGTTTGCGGATTGGGTTATCAAGCAACATAAAAGCCATACTATCGGCCCTGGACTCAAACATGCGCTTAGTATTATCTTGAAGGTCGTTTTCCTTCAGCATGGGAGTGAAAGTCTCAAACAATTGAACGAAAGAAGTGGTTCCAGGGGGATGTTTCCTATCAACGGTCTCGCGGAGATGGAGGTATAGCCAGGCCTCTTGTATGTCTCGAACCTTGACAGGTGGCTGACACGGTCCTTCTAGACTTATCTTCGAGCTAGCGCTTCAGCAGAAGGAGAAATCTTAGTCCATTCCATTCGTGAGTGATCCTCCAGCTTTCACAAATTACACTTATGCTGAATGCCTCATAGGCTCTGCTACTGAGTTGCTTCATGGCCGGTTCAGGATACCCGATGCTAAGACGCCAGACTCCCTTTTGGGACGGCACGAGGCAGGGTTCATTGCAGAGATGAAAGAGTCCCTGAAGAGTACCAAAGGTCATAGGACGCCTGAATATAACAGGCTAATTCTACCCCGTTGTCGCCCCATGCTTCTGGCTATAGGCCAACGGATGGCACATGAGGCAGCCGTTGATGCGGGTGTTGATCCCAATTTTCTGGCGCTTTATGAAGCCGGAGCGGTGAGGAACGACTCAAGTTGGTATGTGGAGCAGCTGGGGCTCAGTAGAGCATCCCAATATGATATGGAGTGCCAAGCGTGCGATAGTGTGATGTCGCAGCTTGATAGGCATTTGGACGAATTGGGTATCGAGCCGTACTGCACCGCCCCGATGCTGTCGCCGCCCAAATGGGAGAATTTCATCGATACCTGCCCGAAATACACAGGAGACGCAGTCCCTAGCTTGAGTATTGGGGATAGCCGAGAGCAAAAGCTTTGATATTATAGAGAATTCAACCAATTACTGCGCGTGGAGCCGAGAGAAAAGTTGTATGAAGTAAACGGATGAAAGAGTTGAAGGGGAAGTGGAGATGGCGGTGGATCTTTGCTGCCTGAGCTGATCGGCTCGGCTAACCCCAGAAGGGTCTAGTGGGTCCTGAGCTGGTCAGTGACGTTGATGGCGTCTCGCTCTTCTTTCTCGACTTTTGGCTCATCTCTGGCTCTTGGTCTGGTCTGGTTCCTGATCCCTTCTTCTTCTTCTCAAGTGAAGTACGATTATCGTATTGAGCTGACTATCTCATCAATTTACTATCTTTATCTTTACATACCATATTCCCGAATTAATCCACGATGGCCGCCTCAGCCGTTTCCTCCGCTGTCAACTTCACCCTTCCTTCCTCCAGTTCTGGCTCTTCCATTAAGCGACCTATCAAGACAGTCTCGAAGCCTTGTTTTGGCTGCGATTGCGGAGACGAAGAATGCGACTGCTGTGTTTGCACTGTGATGTGGTATGTTAATCAAAGACCCTGGTTCTTCAGCAAGAATCCTTAGTAACTCCCATATTTGCAGAACCCACGCTCGTTGCTTTATAGCCATTTCTATAGCGTCCGAAAGCCATCTTGGCTATATACCGAATTTAATGATACAAATGACTTTCAATGGGTGCACTCAGGAGTTTGTTATAAGGATGGTGTCGAAGGCAGGAAGTACATACGTCATTGATGCCACCCCTTGCCGTCCACGTCGATATGTTTTGATATGACTATAGCAAAAGCATAGCGCAGAATGATCGATCTGCTTCAAAATTCCAGCTTCCAAGCCGGGTTGTTCAGTATTAGCTCTATATTCCCTGACTAGTGGATGTAAGGCTTACGACGAGCCTCATGGTCAAGGCCCTGGATACTTTGGAGGTGCCTTTCCTACACTCGTCCCGAATACAGGCTGCAATGTTAGTAGTAACATGTCCTTTTTTGCCTGCTATATGATACCTTGAGATGTGGCACCGACTAGACAATAGCAGGGGACCCCAGACTAGCGCCGTCCGGATGGTCTAAGGCTAAGCAACGATGGGTTTAGCATGCGTGTCCAGCCACATTAGGCTGCATACGCGAGTCATTTTTTAAGACACCTCGTGAGGGGAAACAGTCCGACCCCAAGATTTGAACACCTCTGAGGCAGCACCTGTCTTGCTATTCAGCGCTCCACATATCCGAATCTACATCTTCCACACAAGGATGCCACCTTCAAGCAACAGATTTTCAGCATAGTCCCACAGCACATAAACCATAGTGTACTCAAGATCCTCAGGTATACATGCGATCGGGTTCAACCGGGAAATGTCTCCGCCTCGTTGTTTCGAGATAAGCCACATTCCTAAGCGCCCACCGGTCTAAATATGGGTGATCCAAACGAACTAAGCAATGCGCTAACACTACCCGTCTCAGACTACTGCATGATATAGCGATGCAATGCACTTTTAGGGTAAAGCACGCTACACTGGTGCAAGGCTATAGGAGGGGAGGCCGCTATTGTGTGTGGATTGGGTGAGGGATGTAAGAGATGAGCAGAGCACAGCCGCATGATAACAGTCCTCTTGATTCTCATAGGCATATTCTGTGGTCTACCTTGAATCTGCCTTGCTAATCCCTGTCATTGCTGATCTATTTGAATCCCCCACAGTCCCTCTTTGTGTGATCTGCCTACGTGCGAAAGTTTAACGCTAGATTCTCGAAACAAAGACAGCTATGACATCGTTTTTCTCCACTCCTCCGTTTCGTCGAAACATTTCACTATCTTCATGCTTGACATCAGACGACAATGACGGGGTCGCTGAACCCATTTCGCCTAACGATGTGGCAACTGTTGCGAGTGCACCCGCTCGACCTACAAGTCCCGGGGATCGGAGCCCTTCTGTACGATTTACAGCGAGGCGGGAATCTAGACGAAGAGTGGCGTCTGTACCTTCAACTGGGCATACGGAACGCCCCGGAAATCTCATATCACCGAAGCCTAGAACAGTACAACAATACATATTAGAATCCGATGAAGCCAACCAGAAATCCAACCATCTGCGGCGACTAATGGCCGGCTCTCCCTCTTCACCACCCCGATCACGTGAGGTTCCAAGATTCAGTGGTGGCCCTGTGGGCGATGCCATTTCGCCAGGGGTGAAGGATGTATTTCAGGATGCTGTGGAGGAGCAGGTCCAGAGTCCTGCAGAAGATGACAAGCCAGGGGTTACGACAGAGGCTATTCTTTCCAGCATGCACAACATCATTCGGGGATCTTACAACGAAAATAATAAGGGATACGCTTACGTTTACCGGGACAGTAAGGATGAGTGTCAGCGCTTCAAGATTGGATCGACGGATCGGCCAGAAGTTCGCAAAAAGGAGCTCGACAAACAGTGCAAATACGTGGACTGGGAATTAGTACAGGATCCTAAATTGCCTATCTGGGAGTATAAACGACTAGAAAGACTGGCCCACAGTGAGCTGCAAAATTTGAGATGCAATTTCATATGCCCCGGTGACGGTATCAAGCATCGAGAGTACTTCTATGGCTCAAACGCTACTGCCTCTGAGGTCCTCGAACGCTGGTCGCGGTGGTTAGTAGAACACGAGCCATATGACGAGAAAAGCAAGCTGAAGCCTTTCTGGTCCGAGCGCCTCGAATGGTTCACCGGTAACAAAACGGCATCGTTCTATTTCAACTGCAAAAAGGCTGATTGCTCACGGCGAGACTCCATTCCTGCTGCTTGCCAGGAATGTCTTCGGATAGGATGGAAAGTGTGGACAGAACCAACGACGCTCGACAAGGTTAGGTACTACTGTCCTTGTTATGCCAAGGCCATATGGGAGCGCACACCCGCACTGCCTACCTGTTTCCTCTTCATTTTGTGCGGCAGATTGATTGGGCCAATGATCCTTGCTCATTTTCATGATTACGGACTTCGTGGAGAGGTCATCGTGACTGACGTTGTTATATGCATGTGCGCCTTTCTCTGTCACTATTCCCAAAATAAGGCACTTCAAAAGGCACTTCAGAGGGGATCTGGTACAAAGCGCACCGGTAAGAGGGCTACATCAGCTTCAGGGCAACTCTTTATCTCTCCAGAGGGGCACTCCAGCAGGCATGACCAAGAAGGAACTCCTGCGAAGAAGAGAAAGCGATCATAGCAATTTCGGACAATTCATGACAGGGCAAGTCCGGGGAAGGTCCGTTGCTCTTCGGAATAGGCACGGTGAAGTATACGGTGATTTTCATGACATATCGCTACTATTGACGTGAATATGCTTTATCCATCATTGCAGAGACTATTCACAAGGAACTAGGTTGTCAATCGAACACTAGATGGCAATCATGGCAATCTAGTGTGTAGCTCCGAGGTTGTGCTGTGATACCCACCCGCGATGATGTCAACAGGGTTTCCCGACCCACCCGGATGCTTGCAAGGCACAGCTGGGGAGGCTCGACCTTGCACTGTATCTGTAGATCGGGGTTAGTGATATCAGATCTCACCCAAGAGCCAGGAACAGCGATTGCCAAAAGAAACTTCCAGTTATTGTGGAAAAACCCAAAACCCTGGGTGTTGACGTAGGCGGTCCGTCACCTGACAGCCAGCCAACCCAAATTGCAGCTATCTTAACTTTGGATCCACTGGAAGGTTCATCACAATCCTCATCTTCTTACCATTCTCGATTGACGAGATAGTGGAATTTTGCATCTTGTCGTGGCGGGTGCTCAGGATTGTGTTGTGTTGAGCAATGCCACTTGCCTTTCCACATCAACAAACCCCGACTAGCCGAGCAACTCATGTTGATCTTGGTTGTACCAGAAATGCAGCGACTGCGCCATCGTAACAAATTAGCAAACTCAACAATTAACAGTCAATGAGCGACGAGCATCCGAATGGCTTTGGCCAGCCATTCTTCATTGTGACATGGGCCGAGTTTGGACTGGCGATCATCTTCATGATCGCTCGAGGCGTTGCTGCTTCCAAATTGATTCATAACGTGACAATGGACTGCTATTTGGCCATAGTCACATTTGTAAGTACCTCTTCCACCTTGTAATATCGCTGCTCATATTGATATGACAGGTTTTGGGAGCTGCAAGCATGGCGATGATTACAGTGGGGGCTACATACGGGCTCGGCCGACCGCAGGACATGCTAAGTTTCAATCAGAGCAAGATGGCACTACTCTATGGCTGGGTCAACCAACTTATTGCCCTCGTTGCGATTGGTTTAGGGAAGCTTACCATTGTCGCATTTCTCGAACAAGTCCAAGGCTATCAGACCAAAGCCAGAAGCATCTTTCTCTGGTCTGTGGCGGGCAGCAACCTCGTCCTGAATTGTATCGCTGCCATCCTGATGATGCTTCAATGCTCGCCGAGGAGGATGCTGTGGGAGGCATATGCTAAGGGAAATTGTCCTTATCGCAGCCGTATACAAATATTTGGCTATATTCAAGGGCGTGAGTGTGTCCTCTCGCTTCATGGGTTCTTGTCTAACGTTGACAGCTTGGTCTGCTTTTTGCGACTTTGCACTAGCATTATACCCAGTTTCTTTCCTTGCACGGGTCCACGCTTTCTCGATAGCGACCCGGATCGGTCTCTGCGTACTGATGGGATTTGGCGTCGTGTACTGCACCTTTCCTCTTACTGGATGATTTAGTGCTGACGCAGAGTAGAGCAGGGGCATGTGCAATAGTAAAAACAGTTCAATTGACTGTTCTCACCAAAATCCACGACCCGAGTCGTGAGTGACTGCTGTCCATCAGCTTGCGAGATGAGAGCTAACAGACATTATAGAACAGATTGGGACTGTCATTGTTTGGAATCAGTGAGTAATACTTGACATCTGTTATACCATCTCTAATAATCAAATATAGAACCGAAATGTGGGTCGTATTCATTGTCAGCTGTATACCGCCGACGAAAGTGTTCTTCAAGCATATATATCGCCGGAGCTCTATCCGGCTAGGTTCATTTGTCGACCAAATGCGGCCCCGGGAACAGGAGATAAAGCCGAATGAGTCGTTTCAGTCTAGTTGATGTGGCCGCTCAGTACGAGGCGTGGTATTTATCAATCAGTCGACAGTATGGGGAAGCTATATTGTACTATATCTGTGTATTTATTCGATTATGATACCATGGCGCTTGGGGACTACTAAGAGAACAATTCAACCGAACTATAGTAGCAATACAGTGTAAGTGGAGCGTAACACAAGACTCAATGCTATCTATGCTTTGTATAAGGAGCATGAAACTTTCCTAACTGCTGTCCGCGCAGCTGATACTTGCCTACTGTTTCAAAGTATCACGAATCCAATCATATGACTCGTTATCAGCACCACATCTCATTCTCACTACTAAGTAGACATATATACACAGTTCACATTTACAGAATAATGAGTCACGCCATCCACCTCAGTATTTATACACAGGCCAATCTCCCAATTAGTGACTGATTGCCTCAACTGACAACCCAATGTTACCCAAAAGAAGCTACCAACGAAAATCCGCCCCCAAATCCAAACATCCAGCCTACCTAATCAGTCCCAAATTCCCGAGATAAACCAAGATCGGAAATCACAAATCTCGTCTTACTCAGCTCACCTCAGCCTTCACCTAGGCCACTAACGAACTAACGAACTAGCAGTAGTAGTCAACCACTATCTATCTCCCCCGTTTCATACTAAGTTAACAAGGGTATAATTTACGGCGTAAAACCTCGTACCCCATTCGACGGCTCGGCAATTCCTTGTACTTTAATGATTGACAATCATGCTGCCCGAGTAAACCGACATTGTTCTATTTTCGGGGTTATTTCGGCGAAACAACATATAGTAGATCGGGTACATACGTATGCTATGAGTTTATTATAGTTAAATCCAGGGGCAAGAAGCGGTTCAGAATTTTTACATTGATCTGCAACTTGGCAGGGTGATCGTTTACTTTGCTTCTTTTTTGTTGTTGTTAGTAAGTACTTTTGTTGGGGGTTGTTTTGGTATTGGGACTATTAATGGGATTTGACATGTTTGATTGAGTACTAGTGAGTGACTAGTTGTAGGGGTAGGGGGGTCTCATGGCTTTTTTGGGTATGGAGTGCGATTGTTGTAGTAGTAGTAGTAGTGTTGAATAGTTGTCGCTAGAGCAAGTTCAGCTTAGAAATTGTGAAGTGGCTAAGTAGTCATAGCAGTGCAGTTACTAACGTTAAGTCTGCCAGAATGACATGCGTCATGTTGTGGCACAGTGCTGGTTACATAGTAGCCAGTACTAGTATTTATTGCTTAGTAGTAATGTGACTAGCAGTAGCTCAAGATATATCTTTCCCGCACACGCATAATGAGTGCGACATAACTAATCATGATTCATACTATTACACTCGGTTTCATTGACATGGAAGAATTTAATCCTTGTCTGTTTTTTATTTTTTATTCATCAGTCTATACACGAGCAAAAGGGACTAATCAATCAAACTTTCGACTAAGTATCAGCCAAAGTAGTCGGCCCAATGTCTCACTCCAACCGTTCGCAGTGGAACTTTGGAAATGCAGTTCCCGGCCGGAGAAACAACACAACTCGGAAAAAGAAAAAGCGAAAGATCGAATGGCTGTGCGGCATCGTTAGTTATCTTACCCCACCACGCAATCGTCCAGAACTGAACCCAACCACATCCCCACAATAGAGAGGGACCAAGGGCGAGAGAGAGACAAGAGAGAAGATTATAATGACGAAATCGTGCGTATGTTAGACTGGGTCACTAACTAGTTAGTTAGTTAGTTTACTTACATGGTTAGTTGATTCGATTAGTTAGTTATCTAGTCTACAAATGTACCAAGTAGCTAGGCGTTTAAAAGTAATCAAGCCGAACGAAGACCCGGGAAGGTGGAGGAGAGAGGGGTTATTTTGCACTTTGTCCAGTAAAACCAAACGAATGGTAAAGCGAGGCTTGGACATTTTGCATTTGACATTTCATGGTCCGTTGAGTTTTTATTACACACTTCCATGACCTTTCGCTGGAGCCTGGCGCATTTCCTCTTTCCAGTCAAATCTGTGAATGCGGTGGTGGGCTTTGACCATGTTCCAGACACGTCAAGAGTCTAGACTTACGCATCTCAGCTAGCTAGTTATCTACTAGTATGGGTATATACATCACATCAACCGAGCGCTTGGCTCCCCAGTTGGGTGGTCCGTGATGCAGGGTAGACAGATGGGTTGGTCGTGCATGTTGGTACCTACAGGCTGGTTCATACGTGCGTCGCTGATCTTGGAGGGTACGGTTTGCCGCCGTTGTCTGCTTGGCATTAGCGCTTTGCTCTGGTTGGGTTGGCTGGGACTGCCCTTTCTGGGTCGCAGTGGAAAAGAGCTTCTTCTTTTAGAATGAAATTAATTGATGAATAGCGAGTCTAGTTCTCTGCCTGCGAGTGGTAGGACCCAGACTGGGAGACAAGGCTGGCTGAGATAAGGCGCACGATTTGGTGGTGGCGGGTCAGGACTGTCTGCTGATAGGAAATTCCGAAAAACTTGAATTTGGATTGGCGATGCCACGATCGTACGGCGCTTCTTGCTGGAGGCTCATTAGCACCCCAAAAGTGGATGGCGTAACTCTCTCAGCCGCTCATTCCTGGCGCTTAAAGCTCGCGTACGTCCGAGGCATGTGGGTGGCGGGGGGGGTGCAGCTTTAGTCCAGGAGACAAAGAGGGGTCGAATGGGTATCCAGTACGGAGTAGTTGGAGTTGAACTGCGGCCGGCAAAAGGTGGTCATTCGATTGGGGGGAGGGGGTAGTTGGTAAGAGTCGAGAGGAAGAGGCTTCTTAATCTAAAAAAAAGGGAACTAGTGAAGCCCGTTCAGGGAGCCAGCAGATCATGCGATCGTGGAAGTGTTTCTCACCCCCTCCCCTCCCTTCCTTCCTTCGCTTCCCTACTCATCCCGGTAGACTATGACCAACCCCTGCAAGTCTTAGTAGTTATTAGTGAGAAACCCGATCAGATTGGTAGTATTTGGGAGACAAGGTAGCAGTGCTAACTTGTTTTAAGGTGTTACCTCAACCATGTGGCCGGCTACCCACCTCGAACGGCTCCCATCTCGGCCACATGCGGAATCCTAGCAGGATCAATAAAAGTGCCACAGCACGTGGAGTTTATGACCCGATCGCCGGATCCTGGCTAGCCTGGCAGTCAAAAGGGCGTTAAAAGTAGAAATTGTAGTTGAGAGCCTCTCCGATGCTGGTGATGGGATGCAGGCGTATCGCCGGGTGCTCCCAGACTACTAGGAGCCTGCGTGGTCCCCCGGGCCAGGAGGGAGTAAATCCCCCAACGACAGCTGGCTGCGGCGGACATCGAAGCGCTGGACTGTGCACAGTTCTCTCCCTGTCTCCGCACGACATCCACGAGGGGATCAGGCACCGTGAAGAGCGGAAAAGATCCCAGGCGCTTCGGATGGCGGTCGCCGAGAACGGGCCCCATAATTCAATGACGCTGTTGCCGGCCTGCCAACCAACCAGTCCAAGTGTCAACCGCCAGTGCCCATGGCTTTCCTCCGGTGGAGCAAGGCAGCGAAGCTAAACGGACGGAGGAAATTGGTCAATAGGAATCATGTCCTTGGTCGTAAACTGAGATTCCTCGTGACACCTAGGGAATTTAATGTATATTTTTTTTCCCTTATTAATTGTATTTTATTTTATTATTTTTCTTTTTTCCCTCCCTCTATTTTCCCCTTTCTCTTTCTCCATCAGCGCGGTATTTGGAGGGGCGACTTAATTTATTTGACCTTGGGTTTAGACTCATTTCAGCACTTATTGCTCAGCCATTCTCCCCCTGGAGAACAGGAATTTGGAAAAAGGTGGATCAAGGAGCAGTGCAGTGCCTTCGAGGAGGATTTGTTCGGTTACTCGAGCGTCCGGCGAGCGGGCGGTTAATCCAATTTACATCCACTGCCTCCCGTGAGAGAGCGAGGTTCTTGATCCTGGCCGATCATTTCCGTGGCGGTCAAGGCAATCACAGGATCGGACAATCGGGCGCTCGCCATGCTCCGGACTCTGAGGGGCGCAAATAAACGTGTCACGTAACTGGTAATTGGTAGCCTGCTTAGGGCCGGTCCACGGGTCTGAGTCTGACCGTGTCGGCCAAAGCGCCTCCCTTAGCAGCAACCTTGACCTCATCACAAGTAACCTAGCACCTTCGGACCACCGTTTCACCGTTGGCTGTTTTCAGGACAGGCAATATTCGCGATCCTTCGGATCTTACAGCCCCGACCATGTTGGAAGAATAAGTGGTGAGCTTTCTGGTCCTTCTGTGTCCCTGCATCGTCTCGCACCCAATCTGCTGGTCCCTCTCGCTCCTCGATCATCTCAACCCACACTAGGAAAAAGGGAGAGAAAGAAAAAGGGTCGTAGTAAGAAATGCTGATACCTGGGTCGAGAATGCCTCGGGAATGTGATAATAGCCAGAGAGGATTTATGGAGATTACAGCGATCCTCTGGAGTTGACAGGAGGATCCGTGAGCTTGCAGCGATGCGCCAAGCTGTCGTCACAGAAGGTAACCTTTCGAAACGAAACCTGTCGATCTCCCCAGCGCATTGCGTTTGAGCATGGTCAGAATATAGTACGATGGATGTATCCAATCATGCCCCCAAAGGCGTATGGGAAAAACGGTAAGTGGGCATATGCTCTGCTTGGGGGGCGGCGCATCACTGTGTCTAAGAGGGGGGCCATCTGGCGGAATAATCCAGAAAGACCCTTTTTTTCTTTTCTTCCGCCTGGTTCTAGTTAGGTCTGCAAAGCCGGGCCATGAAAGGGGAGACGAAGCCAGAAACACGCGATGGCCCATTGTCAGCCCGAAGCGGTAAGAATCGGGATCCATAGCGTGGCTGGCGGCCGCTAAGGCAGTGGGGGCCAAAAAAGAACAGGACAAAAGTTCTGAGCCTGATGCAGTCGCCAGAGGCTAGACACGCTAGACGAAACAATGTTCGGGTCCTATTGCTCAGCGTTTTGCGCGCGGGAAAGCCTCTCAGTGATCGTGGGAGGGAAGGGAATCCTCGAGGGGACGGTTGGTGGTATGGGTCCCCGGCTCCCCCTGCTCCCCTACACTGCAATCCCTGGTAGGAGGATGAGGGAAGGAAGCATGCATCGCCCCGGGGAAGGAATTAATTGAACCGCCCATTGCTTATCGCCATGTGGTTCCGGATCTAAAAGGCCATGCCTCGCTATCATGACGATCTCGCACGACTCCACGTATGTCAGACGGCGTCGTTCGCAACTAGCTATCCAGCCAGGACTGACTTTAGCCCCGGCGGACGCTTCTCAGACCCGCCTGGATATACGAATCAGGGAATTGGGAGTCCTTCGCATCCTGAAATTGGCCCCCAAACCATGCGGATTCAACAACGAATCCATCGACGCCGCCTCTGAAGGAAGATGAGCCGAAACAAATCAGAGCATCACCGGGCGGGGGGCTTGTTAATCATTCACTCGGTTCATGCTACTGGCGGTGACGCTCAACGCCCTCGAGCCTTCTGGGGCTGGAACCGACGTTCTCCTAAAATTTCCCACATTCGATGGTGACTGGGGAGAAAAAAGAGGAGGCGAGAGGGGGTAGGGTCGAGTAAACTAATTTCAACCGGTCCTTTCACTATGATAGGAGCTTGTTTCTGTTTTTCCAGGCGGCTCTCAGCCCAAAGCCCGCCATCTCCGAGTCTATTCCTCTCGTGGCTCGCGAAAGAAGTGTTGGTATCGATCGACGGACCGGTTAGGGCGATACGATTGCTGATGTCAATTGCAAAGGTCTCCTTTAACCCCGTCATTCCCAGAGTGGAGTAGCGAGGGGACAGGGGGGGCGCTTGCATCCCAGACTAATTCGAGGCTACTGAAGCTGACCAGGCCGGGTGCGATTGAGCTGTTGGGACCTTCACGTGGCGATGGTGCAGGACTATCCCCTATTGAGCACCCTGACTCAGAGCCGGAAGGAAGCATAATCCGACTGGCGTGGCCCATCTTGTCCGGAATAAATAAACTCAGAAAATGAACCGGGTTCGATACTAGTAGTTAGTAGTAGTGGCGGTGGTGGTGGTTGTGAGTGGTGATGAAGGCCGACGGCGTTGGGTCACCGTTTAAACGACTAATATTAGCTCAACAATAGGGACATTCTGCAATGACGGACCCGCCAAACACGATGATGGAGATGAATGGTTCTCCATGCTCTACAATCATCAGACCACAAGTGTGGGAAACCTTTCGCTACCAACAATGCGACCGATGGACATGATCAGATGAAGGGGAAGTTTCGTGATGGGATCGTCCCCACGTCGAAGAACCATCCAAAGAGGTAACGCGCAGGTCAGTGGTGATTGTTGGGTTGGAGATCCCAGCGAAGGTAAAACAATAGAATAAAACGAAAATAAAATAAAAGAGGGCCCTCTGGTTAGATGGAAGCTTCCGATGGTGGCAGTGAAAGGAGCGCACACACACACAGACACAGGCACACACATACGCCTTCCGTCGAGTGCGCGGGAGAGGATTTGAAATAATTATAATAATAATAATAATAACAGTAATATCCCGACCTGTCAAGAAAACCCCATAATCAAACGGGGGAAGCCTTTTTTTATTTTTCATTTTTCAATTTCCAGCTGCAAATTAAAAATAGCGAGACAATTCACGGTAATTCGTATACGAAAAAAAAATCCAGGATAAGCGTAATTACTATTCCGATCTAGTGGCATAAGCCCAGGTAAAATACATACAAACAGCACCCACCCTCGTTCTCTCTCACGCATTGCTCACCCGCCATAAGCTGCCAGTCTCCAGAAGACGAACCACCAGGTAATCTTCGGCCCCCGTTCGTTGCGCTTATTCGGTCTCTTTCTCGCCTGGCTATCACTAGGCCACCAGGCGTTAAATACTCTCTTCTAGCCGGGCTTCTGGAACACAAAAAGGGTTATCGAACTGATTTACTTACTATCCATCTACCCGTCCGTCGTCCTGGCCGACCTACTACTACCACACTACTACTTACCTTGACTCCCGTGGTGGATATAGTTGCTGTCAATCCGGAAGGATTCTCTGCCTAAGCCTACTACCTAACTAACTGTATGTCACGTACCCTCATTTGTTTTCCTTCGATCTACTTAGCACCTGTTGGTTTTTGTACTTCTTTCCTCATTTCCCTTCTCTTCCTTCATCTCTCCGGGCGTCTTAAAACTATCCCATTCCCCATCGATTACCCTCAGCATATTTTTCTTTTTTCTTTTTTTCTTGAGACTGTCTCCCTAAATAATTATCTTTTTCCTCGTTGTTATCCTCTCAGCTATTGATCGCCTCTCTTGTTCTTGTGATTTTGGCGTTCTTCGATCGAGCACCAATGTTTTCCAGTGAATTCTATCACTCACCAGGCGACTCGTTCGTTCGTCACAGGCAGCTGAGTGATTCCATTCCGCGAAGTTGGAGGGTACCATCGCCAGCATCAGCACCTTTTGTCGTTGATCTTACGCACTCTGATGGTGGTTCGGCTCCGCTAAAGTCTGAGACAACCCCATCAGATACCGCACCTGCGTCCACTCTTCCAGGCTGGCTTCCTGGCACACCGAGTCCTGCTTCAGTCTACAGTTCTCCTGCAAGCGAAAGATCCAGCATCAGCTCAGGAGAAGGACGTAGTCATTTATCACCCCTTCCTCCAAATCAGTACCTAGGCAGAACGCCTTTCCCATCCGAATTCATTTCTCGGGATCTTGAACCAGCAAAGTCATCTTCAAGACTGGTCCAAAGGAGTCCCTCGCAAGCTTTATCACAAATATCACAGTATGTTCAGAAGGCACCTATCTTCACCTTTCCGAGGTACTATTTACTGAAGATGTTGGGCATTAGGGCGTCAGATTCTTCATTATTATCTCAGTCCATGCATCCCGGATCAGTGGCATTTTTGACGACCAACATGGCACATAACTCTCAGAGTATGCTCTGGCATGGATTTTAATGTCTTCATTTTGACGCTGACGTTGAGCAGATTACGGCTGGCAAAACAGGCCACCCCAGCCCCTTCATCCCAGTTCAATGCCTATGGATCAGCAGTCATATCCCCAGGCACACACACTTCCACCACAGTCTGGTTACCCAGCAGCATACCCGCCTCAGCATGCCACCTCTCAAAGTTACTACCAGCCAGGACTCCCGTCTACACATTACCTCACCTCACAGCCAGGTGTGCCCCAGAGCCGGCACCAGCCTCGAAGGTACCAATATTCGTACGCCCTGAGTTTGCCGGGATGAAAACTGATCGTGGTTTTATAGTTCTTCCATTCCCTATCCTTATCCCAGTGCTTCCGTATCTGGCAGTCCACCCACCATGCCAGATCCCTCTTTTACATCAACGTGAGGACACCAAGTGATAAAGAAACGGAATATTATGGCTGACTTGTTTCTAGACCACCTTCATACCTAGTCAACCAACCAGATTACTACCTAACGCCGAACTCTTCACTCTCGTGAGTGGCCATGTTAGCCATCTGGTCTTTGTTCCACCTACTGACTTGTTTTTGCATTACCAGGCAAACCCCCAATTCTATACCTCAGCCACATAACCTGATACCACCAGGAACAGTGTATTCCTCTCCCGAGTCCGCTCCCAGTTCCTCAGATCCAGATCAAGTACGAGTGCTCAGTTTTCGGCCAAAACCTCAATGTTGGGATCACGGATGCAACGGGCGTGAATTTTCTACCTTCAGCAACCTGCTCCGCCACCAACGAGAAAAGTCGGGGGTGGTCGCCAAAGCCGAGTGTCCCATTTGCGGTGCTGTATTCACACGCACTACTGCCAGAAACATCCATGTTGCCCAGGGGAAGTGCAAGGGGGTAGCAAGGGAGCCGTCTGCCGAATAAACCCCCACAAGGGCGCTAGCGTCAGGGGCCATGGACATGGCATGAGCGTCTGGTACATGAACTAGGACATCGCCGAACATCAGTGAATGCGGGCTTATTGTCGGGCTTCGGGCAGCAGCGTATTCTAACATTACACCGTCTAGGCGACGGACCCAGAACAGAGAACAGATCTGTACAGTGTACAGATGATGGGTGGATCAGAAGAGGGAAAGCCCCACATCACGGACTTGGGCCGATGGACACTGCGAGGAGTGTCCACTTTTTGCATATCAACTTCTCGGAACGAATATTCTTGCATGTGTCGTATTATTTAGTTGCATTTGTTTAATACCCTGTGAGATATCTTACACTGGATAGCCGTTTGATCACTTTGGATGGGAGTTATAGTTTATCTACATCGAACTGTCCGTTTGCCGAAAGCATCCTGCCGTAAGGACGGTCGCTGTTTACAACTCCGGCTGTCTCTGAGCACGGTGGAGCACCATGGCGAAATCGGGTTACTGACGCAGTTTGGCGAGAGACAGCGGGCTTGCAAACACGGACCCCAAATACAGTCCATTAATCAACGTGCAGTAGTGAGACGCATCATTGCCGTGTTAGGCTGGTCAAAGACCATAAGCACTAAAAAAGACCAGGCTTCCTAGTTCCCCTCGACAACTATTGTTCTGCTCGTTTTATCTGAAACGAAAGCCCCTGCAGCCGAAATACGATGCGGCTTAGCCACGCTAAGGGCCTCAGGCATCAACCCCTCACGCCCAGCACGTGTGGATGACTGGGCCCGTCACCTGACCCAGTCATGTCGTAAGGCGGGTACTCGATCGGGGCACCGCGTATTTACTCCGTGATGGATAGTCGCATCCCCCACGGACAAGTGACTCACCCAGCAGGCTTCCCCTCCAAGATGTCGCCTCATTGCTAACTGCCAGCCGCTACAATTTGCTTCCAAACTGCATGTTATCTCTCTTGGTTCCTTCATTGAAGAATACATCATTCTCCAACGGCTTCATCCGCGCCCTGCATCAATTCTTTGACAAAGCACTATTCAACACCAAAATGACTCTAACAGGATCTACCAACTACACACGAGGAAGAGTACATATATTGAACGCAAAACAGTTACGGGCACCCCGAATATACCGCGGGGTTTTAACGATAGCTCGCTGTTAGATATCAGCCGCTCTTTGTTTATAACCCTACATCCCCCGGTCTCCGATTGCCGTCGAGCTTGTATTTACCATCATGGCATCTGTGTTCACATACGATCCTGATCCTCCGCGGGTCTCATCTCCGTGGTCCACATCAGGGTCCTCAACCCCTCAAGTTGCAGCTACTGGCAACCGCACGGTGCCTCGAGCACGTTCAAGTACGAACTTGGACCGCGCGGACCCTGATCTACTCTCTGATTATGGGATCACCAAATTGGACCCTGAACCCCAAGAGGGGCCCACAGAGTACAAACTCCATTTGCTTCTACGCCCTCGCCGGCCCTATGTCTCCATGTCAACTAGCAACCTCGTGGGAGGCTCATATCACTCCCGAGCAAGCTTGTCAGCGGATAGCCCCATGCCGTCGAGCTACGAGTCGAACCCGAGACCGCAGCAGACTCGCTCGACTGAAAGCCGCCAGCAAAGGCTGCAGCATCTCACCACGCAGCTCCTGTGGCGCTTGCAGCAGTCGTCGCCCTTTCATTCGTCTACGACTGCAAATCTTGTGCTGCCAGTACTTCCAGAAGCAACATCTCAGCTAGGAGCGGCACATAAACCTGCTCGCTTACTTCCTGGCCTAGAGGAGAGCCAAGGCGCTCTGTATGAGGTTGGTGTTGCTGATGATGGGACGTTTGTTGGACTCACTCAAGATGAGCTGGAGGAGAGCTTGTCTACTTTGCAGGTTATGGCAGCCAGCTTGGGCTGCAAGGTTGATGTCCTTCGCAGAGTGAATGTTGGCAGTTGTGAATGGGCCGAAGATCCATACTCCGAGAACATGGATACTGGCAAGGTCCATGCTGAATGCCTTTGGGTTGCAGAAGCGTTAGTAAGCCCTGACTGGGACTTCTATCGCGTCAAGTCTCCTGGTGAAGGCCAGACGCATGACAATTCATCTTCCGACAATGCGAAGAGAGAAGACTCGCTAGGCAGCTCTTCCGGTACTGAGCAGATCCGTGTCTCCATTGCCGGCCCTAGTGCAGCCGGCAAGTCTTCTCTATTGGGTACTCTAACCTCGTCCGTACTCGATAATGGGAGGGGAACAAGCAGACTAGGTCTGTTGAAACATCGACACGAAATATCGTCAGGAATCACCAGCTCCGTTGCTCATGAATTGATTGGATACGCTGCAGATGAATCTCAGGCACAAACTGCTGAAGTGATCAACTATGCCTGTGGCAACATTGCAGCTTGGGATGATATTCACGCTGCTTCGGAGGGTGGACGTCTAGCTTTTGTCTCCGATCTACCAGGCTCAGTACGCTATCTGAAGTCCACGTTACGAGGAATGATCGGTTGGGCTCCTCATTATGTACTTTTGTGCATCCCGGCAACTTGCGACGACGAGGCTCCTGCGGAGTCTGGCCAATCTGCTGAACAGCCTGCAGACATGACACTAGCACTGTCACACCTGGAACTCTGTGCTAAGATGGAGATTCCCACTGTTGTTGTAATTACCAAAATGGACGTGGCATCCCGCTCAGGCCTGCGGAATAATCTTGCTAAAGTCCTATCGGCTCTCAAGTCATCTGGCAAGAAGCCAGCCATGATGTCCGTTCCAACCGCCCAGACAGTGGACCTACAGCGTACAGGGTCGAAGGATGTAGAAGAGGTGCGGAAGTTGATTTCCACTACAGAAAGCTGGGAATCGACCGTGCCAATCGTGCTTACAAGTGCGGTGGATGGCTCAGGCATAGGTAAACTTCATGCGCTCCTCCGATACCTCCCCATTCCTGCGAGGCCGCCATCACGGGACGTCTTGTTGCCCAAGACACTAGCTACTCACACTCACCCTGAAGATGTTTTTGATGTCGACGAAGTCTTCGCTATTCCTCCCTCCAAGGTATACTCAGTAGCTGCGGAGCAAGAAAAGAAAGAAGCGCACGGCGTGGTTCTCTGTGGTCTGGTTCGCTACGGATCTATTTCGGCAGGAGACGAGCTACTCGTCGGACCTCTTATGTCTAACACATCTGACCCGGGCAATTGCTTACAGAGGCAGAGGAGTCGATCGGGAAAACGGCCGGACAGCATTCAGCATTCTAGCACGAATCGGAGCAGACCCGCTTCTGGGGACTTCTCGACCTCGTTTATACATGGCTCTTTCCCTGGGAAACCTTCTCTTCCAACCCAAGCATACTGGCAACGTGTCCGCGCAGTCAGTGTACGGAATTTGCGACTCCCAATTCAAAAATTGACGCAAGACCAAGTCGGGACGATCGGGATAGAGCCGATATCCTTGACTGCGAATGGGCAGATGCCACGACTGGGGAAGATACGGAAAGGCTCCATCCTGCTCAGATTGTCGGCGTCGTCTGCGTCTATACCAAGGGCCCTTCTCTTTCACACTGGCTTCGTAGCAAGCTTTCCGTCTAGCGAGTTCGCGTCTCCTCTATCCCCACCGGTACTGCTGGGTGGTAATGCCACAGTCTATGTGGCCAATGTTCGCACGACAGTGAAGTTGTCATGCATGGCTCTTGCGGAAGATGAGGTTATCTCCAGACCACCGTCACCGACCGAACCGGAGTTCTTCAACTTCGATGGCGACACTTCAGGCTATGAACGGGGTCGCGAACCAGGGGTACAAGATATGGTACAGTCTTCTAGCAATCCAGGACAAGGCGATATCAAAATTACATTCGAATTTGTATCGTCAGTTGAATGGATCGAAGTTGGATCGAGGGTTCTTCTGATGCCCGGAACATCGACAGCCCTGGTGTCTGCGCAGGGGTCCAGCCAGACCTCGGGGCTCGAAGGCTTCCTTGGTCGGGTCTGCGATGTTCTTTGTCTTGAAAATACTACTAGTATATGAGCCTTTGTGGGGAGCTTGTTTTGTTCGCTTTATGTATGGATTATTGTCCAGCAATTGTTATTAGCAGATAGGTGTGTTTTATAAGGCTTTATCTCTCCTCGTAATTGATCCAATATATGGAGTAGTTGCGGTGAGCAAGCATCTTTAATTGTGAGCGAGTCAGTTTTGTAGGTTGTAGATATGACGATAATGCCAACAGTAGCGTTTATAATAGCTGTCTAGTAGTCACGGGTCCGGGGCCGCTGTCACGGGGAGGGGCGCTAGGCCCGGAAGGGAGGCCCCAACCACCGTCTCGCCGCCACCAAGTGGACAGCAGTCCCACCGAGGATACAGATCTCCAAGCTCTCTCGGTACTCTGTACCCCGTTCTCCTCTCTTGCCTTGCTCGGCTGTCTTCAAAGTTCAAACAGTACTAGAGTGGATTCCTTGCCGTGCTGATGTGTGGCATGCAGATCTGAGGCAAGTAGTAGCATGCATCTGACTGCCGGTCCCTGATTGGCGGTTTCTTCGTTGCGGTGCCGTGCCATTTGGTCGATCTGCCCGTGTTCCCACCGGCGCCCCGTCCTCGACTGCTTCGTTTACCCCGGATCCGATCCCGTCAGTTCCGCTCCTAGCATCCTTCTTATACCTTCGGACTCTCAGACCTATTCACGACCGTTACTCGGAACGAGACCTTTTGATTCGCAATTCCGCCACCAGTCAGCGCGAGTGGCTGGCTTCCGTCTGGTGCTCGGTGCCCCTCCTCAGCCGGCATGGATAGCTATCATACATTATCCGCCAGCAGTAACATGGCTGGTCCCAGCAGCTTGTTTCTAGGATCAAGAGTCAGCTCCGACGTGGAGAACTTAACAGATGATGATGACGAGTTCATGTCCAGCGCCAGCACCACTTCCCATGGGTCCGAAGAACGGACGGAGAATCGATCTGAACCTGAGATGAAGACGGAGGATACTTCAGTCGATATTCCGATGACTCCACCCCGCAACAGCATCCAAAAAGATGTAGACTCGGGACCATGTCAAAGCAGTCATTTGAAAAGCGATGCGACACCTCTTTCGACAGTGAAGCAGCCTCTTCGGTTGCTCGATATGCCCATCGATGTACTACAGGTGATTATCAAATAGGTACGGGCTAATACTTCTTCAAATGGCTGCGACAAGTTATTACCACAGACTAACACTTGGTTGAATTCAGGTAACGCATACGAATGATCTCACCTCCCTTGCTCTGACTTGCTCTGCCCTCCATTCCTTGGCGATCCCCCAGATGTATTCTCGCTTTGATATCGTATGGCCCGAAACACTGTCATCCTCCGACCACCCAGCTGGCGTGGACGCTCTGTCTTATGGTCTTGCAACACTGGTGATGGGACAAGATATATTCCGCGAGCTACCCCCAAGACGAGCGCAACCTTGTCCCCATTGCGGTTGCGAGAGCCCTGCGCCGGATCGAGACAACCCCACAGACACACTCTTGAAGATCCGTCGAGGCAACTACTATGCACAATATACTCGCAAGTTCTCAGTCGGCAACGGTCCACTAGTCTGGGTTCAAGAGTACTCTGTGACGAAAGAGACCGGCAAAATGTTGGGGACACTAGTTGCTCTGGCTGTGGCTCGGATGGTCAACCTGGAGACGTTCGTTTGGGACATGCCAACCGGAGTTTTGAGGGATGTGTGGATAGCGCTTTCATCGCTAGCAAATCGGCCCGGCCATGAATGTCGTCTGCAGCGCGTCTGGGTCCGTTGGCACGACAATTCTGAAAATACCATGCGTCCGTTGGCCGGGCCCTCCACTGCATCTTCCGTGACGCTTCCAGACACACAAGCTGCATTGGCAGGGTCGGCTAGTAATTCCTCGCTACTACAGAGATATGGGCATGTAGAATACCCTTCTCTGTCGATACTCCCGCCACTAAAGAGCTTGAGTGTCCTTGATATAGATGAACCATCGTATCTCGAAGAAATGGCTGTACTTGTTGAGCGATCCAGAGACCGTCTGAAAGAACTACGTATTGGCGTTTCTAGCAAGGTATACCAAGCGTCTTGGTTGAAGCCAGCAGGAAGCTGGCAGGCTGAGCAGCCAACTCCATCCCGCGGCCATTCTGGATGGCCGAAGTCTGGCGGCGTACTCGGGGTTGTTCTTGGGAGATCTGAGGAGCCCACACGCCCGAATCGGACTCAAGCAGATTCGTCCCCAAAGCAGGAGGCAGCTGAAGGTCATGCGGAGAACAGTCATTCGGGATTCCAAGCTCATTCTTCCATGAACAGCGCTCCGGGATCTCCGTTGCCCGCGGACGACATCACTTCCATTGCCCTGAGTATGCAAGGCACGCACATAGCGCAGCAACAGGCAGCTATCGCGTCGGAGACCAGCTTGTCTCGGGAGATCCCGCACTCGTGCTCAGAGAAACCTCTGGCTGTGCCGGGCTCTGGCCATCAAATGTTGAAGCTCGAGACCCTAGAACTCGAGCGCGTTCCACTGTCCATTCCGGTTGCGTTGCACGCGCTTGACTGGAGACAACTGACAACTTTGACGATTTTCCGTTGCGAAGGTCACGAAAAGCTCTGGAGAGCACTGCGCCGGCAATTCTCCCCGTCTGTATCATCGCGCTCGAAGCATAGTAGACGCGAAGGCGATCAAAGTGCCTCCGAGTACCGGTTGAATCTTAGACATATCCACACGGATGCTGTGTCGCCTTATCTGCTGCTGTTCATCAAGGATACACTTGCACCCAACACGCTGCAAACTCTATTCCTACACGAGGCACCAATGTATGATTCGATCGTCCATATCGATGCTATCTACAAGAATGCTATCAAAACTCATCATCTCAGTCTGCAAAAGATATTGGTCGATAGTACCCAGCGGGCGCCAGGGGGAAGCGAGATGCCTAGCGTGCGGTGGTACAAGTGGATGTTCACTCGCCAGATGCTCACGTTTCTCAGTAGCGGACGTATGCCACGGCTGCGGGAGCTCTCTATAGCTCTTCACTCCAAGGACTGGGTAAGTTACCAATCGAACTCATAATCTCTTGTGCTAACGTCAGCAGCACTATTTCCTCCAAAGGCTACCGTACATGCCTCAGCTTCGCGCACTTCATATACCACATATTGCTCGGCAAGTTCACCGAGACCCGAAAGAACTGGCGATGATGATCCTGGATATTGTGACCATCCGTCCAGAAGTGGGGATAAACTATGTAGGCATACAGAATAAATGCTACGAGATCCTGGAGGCCAAAGATGGCGACGCGGGGGAATTTTATGACACGGACGACAGCCATAGCGAGGGCTTCGTGCCTGGGGGCGAGGAGTGGGCAGGATCAGAAACAAACGAGGATGAATCTGACGACGATGGCGGGGTCAGCGCGATGGACTCGCACTCGGATCTGTCGTCAGACGATAGGACATCATCAGACGGGGAGGAGTCTGAAATGGATTACAACAAGACTCGAGTATCATTTCGGCTGCGAGAGATCTTGTTTTACGATGACAAGATCGCCATCTTCAAGGCGCGGCATGGCGTTTTGTAACTTCCGGTTTCCTTGGCGGGCGTTGGTGACATGTTCGGGCTTTTCTACAAGATACCATGAAGCGATTTCGGTTTGAACATTGTTAGCTAATTTAGGTATGTTAGCGATATTGGCTAGTCTTGTGCAGTTAAGCATAATGGGACGACATCACCATCCTGCCTTGTATTCCGTAGACGGTCACGTGCTCGGGCGGTCAACCAAGCTCAGCCTCTGAGAGCCGCGATGTCGACAAGCGACCTCAACTCGACCCTGAAGAAGCCGGCTAGCATTCGACTCGCCTAACCTCTTTTCCCCGTTTCTATACCCTGATTGAGTGCCTTCGCGCGTAAATCCACAGCCATGAAGCTCGTCCGGTAAGCCAACCGCTGCAGATCGCGCCTGGTGCAGCTGTGCCCGCGAAGATTGCACAGCGACTAATTCCTATCTGCACAGGTTTCTGATGAAGTGCGCCAACGAGACGGTGACGATTGAGCTGAAGAATGGTGAGTTTCCTATCCCTTTATTTCTTCCAGCGCCTGAAGCTCCATCCATCTCAACATCAAATCTAACCACAAATAGGCACCATCCTCCACGGCACCATCACCTCCGTCTCCCCCCAGATGAACACCTCCCTCCGCACGGTCAAAATGACCCCCAAAGGCCGCGACCCCATCTCCCTCGACACCATCAACATCCGTGGCTCCACGATTCGCTACTACATCCTGCCCGATAGTCTGCCCCTCGATACGCTGCTGATCGACGACACGCCCAAGCCGAAGAACAAGGCGCGCAAGGAAGCGGACCGCGGAGGCCGTGGTGGTCGTGGTGGTCCTCGTGGTAGAGGGCGCGGTCGTGGCCGTGGCCGTGGTCGTGGATTCTAAGCTGGACGTGATTGGTATTAGACATTGCGATTTTTTCCATCTTTTACATTTTTATCACTCGAGGATCGGAGTTTTTCTGTTTCTTATGTTTTTTTTTTTATCTATCCTATGGCTGGATGATTGATTGATCGATTTTGCTTTGAATGGGTGGGTCCAATTCGACACTGGTATAGTCGGTCTGGTCTGGTGGAATAAGCTGGACCAGGCTTGGCTGCGCGGAAAATTGGGTGAGAAAAGCGGCGGTGATTTACGAAATCTGGGTTAGGTTGCGCGGTGGATTGTCGGGTCTGGTTCATAGACTCCCGAGATGAAACTGCAAGGCAGGTCTGGCGGTGGCGGTCGTATAATCGATGAATGACCGAATCGAATCGAGATCGAGATCGAGAAGAGAAGAGAAAAAGTAGTTAGTCTACTTTATATCTATCTAATCAGTGGCCGCGACACAAACACACGAAGAAGAACAGAAATATACACACTTCATACGAAGTGTTGTGCCGAAATCAATCATACCCTCGTCTATCATCTCGTCATCACTCATTAGTCTATCCATATCATCCCTATAATCCCCCCAAACCTATACAATAAAACCAACAACCATAGACTACTACTATTTATGAAGTAGAGAAATCCCTCCAAACCCTCACAATAACCAACTTCTCCCACCCCGCCTGTACCCCACTACTCCCAACCAACTCAGCACACCACTTCCCCCCCTCCATGTCAACATCCCACCCCTGTATCCGTTCCACCACCTCCCTTGGCCGATTCTGCGCACAAAGCAACACATACGCCACGCCCCGTTCACTTAACACCCTCGGAATATCCGCCAACAACCTCTCCGTAATCTCCATCCCATCCTTGCCCCCCGCATACGTCAACGAGAGGAAATACGACTCCCTCTCGAACTTCTCGCTCCTTGACACTTCCTTATCTTCTTCGTTATCCTCCTTACTAGGTAGCCGCGGTAACTCCGGCGTAGGCACATACGGCGGGTTGAATAGGAGGATATCGATCGAGTGGGGACGGATCGGGGAGGCGAGGTCGGAGGTTAATGTTGAGGAGATGAGGGATTTGGTTGAGGTATTCTTGGAAGGAGCGCCAGGCTCATCTGTAGAGGTTGCTTGGGATTGTTGTTGTTGTTGTTGTTGTTGCTGTTGCTGCTCCTCAATCGCCTTCAGAACTGTCTGTCTCGTCGCGAGACATGCATTGCGGTTCACATCCGTACCGAGAGCGAGGACATCAGTGCGGCCGAGAATGTGGTGGGAGTTTGCGGTGAGGAAGGCGAGGACGACGCCGGAGCCAGTACCGACCTCGAGGAGGAGAGGGGATGGTGAGGATGTAGAGGGGGAGAAGTGGTTCGTGAGCCAGGCGGATTCGGCGGGGGAGGAGAGCGTATCCAAAAAAAGGTAAGAGTCTTCGGAGGGTTCGTAGATGGTGTCGAAGGAGACGTGGGAGGTGCAAGGGGTGGGGAGCATCTTGATCCCTCCTTCTTTTCGTCTGATAAAGTCTCTGGTTTAGTGGATTGGGGAGAATTGGATATGTCTTGGTGGTCAAAAGTGGTGGTGGTGATAGAAATATTGTATGGCTTGACTCTGATAACGAGCCAATCATGTCCTCCCAAAAACGGGATTTCCCTGGTGCTGGGGCTTCTCCGCCTTGGAGGAAACCGCGGCAGTATCGCGCATTTCATCATTCCATCATTCCCCCGACTTCGTCTACTTGCCAATTGCCAACTTGCGATCCCAAAGTCACCTCGAAGAGAGGAGAAAATCAGCATGTCCTTCCTACGCTTCACCCCCACGGCAGCCCGCCGCCTCGCCACGCCCTCCACCTTCGGCTCCAAATCCAGTCTTTCCGAGACCTTGGCCCTGCTACCGCCGCTGCAGCTCTACCGTCGCATTCTCCGCGTGCACCGCAAGAAACTCGATCCGGAGATGCGGATTCTGGGTGATGGCTATGTAAAGAGTGAATTCCGGGCTCATCGGAATGTGGATAATCCGTTGCATATTGTATACCATACCCACTCTCATAATCTAGTTCGTGTCTGGTCTTGTGGATAGCTAATGACATGGTGATTTGTGGCAGATTGGTTTCCTCACGGAATGGCAATTATATGCGCAGAAATTGGAGGGAGATGCGGGATTGGGGAGAAGTTGGATAAGAGTAAATTGGATAAGATGAGTGGGTGAGGATACTTCTTCTTCTTCTTCTCTTTTGCTTCTGCTTGGGATGGTCGTGTTGGCTTTGAGTGTGTACTAACTGAAAGGCAGATCAGCAAATTGGGCAGCTGTATGAGCTTATGCAGGCGATTCAGAATAAGGATGGGG